TTGTGATGAATCTCAGCGCTTCATGATACAGTAAAGTTACCAGGTGAGAGTTTTTTCCGTACAACGTTCGTAGTCGAGCAAAGCAGCTGAAACAAATCTCAGATTTTTAAATCCAGTGAGCTGGTGCATGAATCAGTGACTGACCTGGAGGCTGCGTCGCTGAGTAAATCTGCACCAACCTGCACCGAGCTCTCAGGCCAGATGTTCAGGCTGTGGTTTGGAGACTAAAAATACTTTCACTAAACTGAGCACTGATAACTTTTTTTTTTTTTTTTTAATGGTGAAGTGATAATTTTAGTTGGTTTTGAAAACGCAGCAGATGGTTGAAGTTATTCTTGTTTCGGGAGGAGATGCACCACAACCTTCCTGCCAAAAGGAGCCTGAGTGAATCTGTGTGGGTTTCACACATACTTCATATATAAACCAGGTGACCGCCGAAACATGGCCACAGTCAAACCATCATCATCATCATCATCATCATGGGCCTGGATTCCTCCCGACGAGCTGCTCGCGCTCCCACCTGTCAAAACATGGGAAACGTGCTGAATGACTCTGTTGCTGCCGAGCTGACACTCGCCAGTGTAAACACATGCAACTGCATACATGTCGCTACATGAACACGCACACTCTCCCTCTCGGTTGTTTCCCCGGAGCAGTAAAAGAGGCCCCTCCGTCGGGGCAAGTCTTGGCAGATGTGCTGAGTGTTCTGGCGCTCTTTGCTGGTATTTTGGTTTTGGAGGCCCTGTACTTAAAATGACTGAGATACTTGAGGGTTATGGGAAAACGTCAAATGCCTCGCTGACAGATCGCTCTGGAAACGACACGACATGGACACTCAATGGTCACTTGACTCCCAGAGCTCTCGATCATGTCAGAGAGCTTTAGCAAAAAAAACTATGAAGTATCATTCGTATGTTTGTGAAAATCTGCCGTTAAACTTTTCTTTGTGATCTTTTCGTCTAAATGATTCTCCTGTTTGCCTCCTTCAGGGCAGCCCGGCAGTCAGAACACGCTGAAGTCCATCATGAAGAAGAAAGACGGCCGACCCGACTCCAACGGCACCAAGAAGAACCTGCAGTTTGTCGGAGTGAACGGAGGGTGAGTCTGAGAATGTTGCTATGAAAGAGTTTTAAAAATGTGTTGAACCTCCCAACACCTGACTCTTCATGTTTCTCTGCCTTTGTCGCCCCCGTGTGGCCCAGGTACGAGACTACGTCGAGCGACGACTCCAGCTCGGAGGACAGCAGCTCCTCCGGGTCTGAGGAGGACGAAGAGGAGGATGAGGATGAGGAGAAGGAGTTGGGAGGACAGGAGGAATACAAGAACGTGGAGCGAAAGAACAGCAGGGAGGAGTTCGAACCTGAGGGAAGCGAGGACGTGGACAAGAAAGACGAAGAGGAAAGTTCAGAGAAGCAGGAGACGAGAGACAGGTGGGTTCATGACAAATTCAATTCAATGGAAGATATTTTGAAATCGTCTGATTTCATCTGAATAATTTCTTTGGCTGGTTTTGCTTTGATTTTTGAATCTGTCCATCAGATTTCTTTATTTCTTTGTGTAAAGGAGAAAAACAGTTATTCTTGAAAATCCAAACAAACTACAGACCATTGATAGTTGAACAAAACTTTATTGTCAAGCCAGAGGGGAACATTTGACACACTAGATAACCAGTTGACTAATACTGATCTAACAGAACCACCAGTTGTTAAATCTTTTCACATGAACCTGAGATGTAGTTATTTAAAATGTTGTCACACTTTTCAGATGGATTAGAATGAAGTCTTGTGAGGTTTTGAATTAAACTCTGTTATAAATGTTTTTTTTTAAAGGTATGAGCTAAGTGAGAAGATGTTGGCTGCGTGCAGCGTTCTCAAAACTCACCTGAGTGACTCGAAGACTGTGAGCAGCAAAGACCTGGTGAGGAGTTAGTTTCAAGTCTCACACACAAATACAACCATGTGACACAAACATTTAATGATGATACATCTGTGAATATTTTATTAAAAACACGTCTGAGCTCAAAAGTCAAATCGTTTTTTAATATTTCAGCCTGAATGAACTGTTTCACGTTGTGTATATAAAATAACGTGGCGTTGTATTTGACCGCGTGTTAACCTGTGGTCACGGATTCTGTTTTTCAGCGAGCATGTCTGAACACGGTGCAACACGAGTGGTTCCGTGTGTCCAGTCAGAAGGCGGCGATGGGGGCCATGGTGGAGGACTTCCTGGGAGCCTTTGGGGCCATCTCGCCGGCCGTGCTGCGCCACATCGTCAACATGGCCGACGGCAACGGCAACACGGCGCTGCACTACAGCGTGTCGCACTCGAACTTCCTGGTGGTGAAGAAGCTGCTGGATGCAGGTGAGACGCCTGAAACAGCTCCGACAACGAGCTGAAGATGAGAGAGAAAGATATCCTCTCTGCACAAGTTTATTTTTTTGGTTTCCTGATGTCGTCTTTCTAAATTTCTATTTCTCTGAGCTCTTCAATGAACTGATCAAAGTAATTCTGGGACTAGATATAGATCTTCATTTATTATAAAAGCCTTGAATTCTTGAGAGGTAAATAAAAGTTAAGAAAATAATGCTTGTGGGCTGAACAACCAGAACGGAGGATAAGGAACTTTCTCTCTCCTGCTCTCGAACCAGTTTCCTCCTCCAAACATCCATGTGGCGTTTTCTCTGAAGGCTCAATAGACGGTGATGAGGTCCCGGCCACTCGCTGCTTTAAAAGCCTTTTGTCTCCTCGGCCTTTTGTGTCCTTGTGCCATGTGACAGCACATCCACTCCCCTGTTCCCATTGTAGCCTTTGTCCTCGCACCGGCCCCAGTTCCTTAGGCCCCTGCAGCCCCCCCGCCCCCCCAGTGCCACCCTCACACCCGCCTCTGTCCCACCCCGGCTCTGATGTCTCGCCGCGGAGCTTCTCGTCTTGCAGGGAGTGTAAAGGATGAGTTCAGACAAGGCATCGTGGTCTCCCAGGTCTCTGTGAAGCAGAGACGTGATTGACTGACGCGTCACGGGCCTGACACATCGTGCATTGTTGTGTTGTCTGACAAATCAATCACGGGCAGAGTCGGAGCGCTTTAAACATCACGTCTATCTGTGTGTGTGTGTGTGTGTGTGTTTGCAGATGTGTGTAACGTGAACCAGCAGAACAAGGCAGGATACACACCCATCATGCTCGCAGCGCTGGCAGCCGTGGAGACGCCCAAGGACATGCGTATTGTGGAGGAGCTCTTCAGCAAGGGTGACGTCAACGCCCGGGCCAGCCAGGTCAGTGACGGCAGGGTCGGGGGTCAGAGGTCAAAAGGCAGCGGCAGGGCACCAACCAACCGCGTGTTTCAGGTCTTAATGAGCCGCGATCTGAAGGTCGATAATCAGGCAGAGGCAGATTGTGTGTGTGACGGAATCACCTGCTTTATAACAAGTTTAATTTTCTCTGAGTCATTTGTAAACACACCAAACCAGAGAGATGAACTTTTTACTCTCTGGTGGGAGAAATGGTACACCGGTGACACCAAGTGGTGAAAAGGTATAAAACTATTTGCAGGAGTTGAGACTGGAGTTTTTTACTTTTTATCATCCGAGTGAAGAAGTTTCTGATATTTGTAAGAAAGCTTTTCTCGCCAGCTTTTACAGATGAATCGTTGTGAATGTGTTGGAGGAAAAGATGCAGGAATGAAGGCTCCAGCTGGTTAATGATGATGAGTTATCTATTGATTATTTCTCAGTAAATTCTATAAAAGAGAGAAATACCTTTCTAGAGTTGCAAAACACAACAATCACAAAACACTGGAAACCCAGAAGTCTCATGTGACCGAGCTGCTGTGCGTGTTTCAGGCGGGTCAGACGGGGCTGATGCTGGCGGTCAGTCACGGCAGGATGGACATGGTTCGGGCTCTGCTGGCTCACGGGGCCGACGTCAACGTCCAGGACGACGAGGGCTCCACGGCGCTGATGTGCGCCAGCGAACACGGCCACGTCGAGATCGTCAAGCTGCTGCTGGCTCAACCCGGCTGTGACGCCACGCTCAGCGACGGCGTGAGTAACTCGCGAGGTGGTCACATGGTGCGGGGAAACGACAGAGCATTACTCATCAGAGATTAGTTATTCATTCAGACGGATATCTTAGATTTGAATACAGAAACTCTGCTTGTTCTAATCTGACAGGTTTTTATTTCATTCACTTCTCCTCTTTGTCTCGGTGTCTTTGTTGACTTCCTGTTTCCGTCTCTCCAGGATGAGAGTAACGCTCTGTCCATCGCTCTGGAAGCAGGACATAAGGACATCGCAGTGCTGCTCTATGCACATGTCAACTTCTCCAAAGCCCAGTCACCGGTAAACATCCACTTTATTTTTACGTCCCTAAAGCACCAATTGCTGTGACAGAGTATTTTAGGGCCATGATGAAAAATAATAATTCATAAAGTTATTTTACACGTTTGGAGAGATTGTGTAAGAACCTCAGGATGTTTGACGTTTATATAGGTTCCACTCAGAACGTGTCAGAATCTCGTCTCTCTCTCGTCTGTGTGTTTTAAACGTGTGTGCGTTCCGCTGACTCGTAGGGAACCCCTCGACTCGGCAGAAAGACGTCACCCAGTCCCACCCGCAGAGGCATGTTCGATTAGAAGCCCCGCCTCTTGCCCAGGAGCCCCACGCTGCTATTGGTCCACGCCGAGCGACGCCTTACCTACAGCTGGACGAGGGAGTTCATCCCAAACAACCAACCAACCAATGAGATTTCTGGAAGTATTTTTTATTTATGTGCGCACCTCTGTCGTCCACGACGAAACCCAAAGTGCCCTTTGAATATGAATGTAACCAGCTGGTGCCTCGAGTCCTTCAACCGTCAGCAAACCACTGGAGTTCACACCAACACGGACTAATGCAATTTTTTCCTTTTTTTTTTTTTTTTTTAATTTCCTTTTTTCCAATTTGACCATGTTTTGATTTCCAAAGCTCAATGTTGATCATTCAAGAGCATCGAAACATCTCTGATTTTTTTTATTTTTATTTTTCAGAGCTTCAGAGTAGACGGAGAATAATCCACCCACGCGTTAGAGGAAACATTTCCTGTATATATTGCTCGCCTCAACAACCCGGTGTCACATCTGTGTCCCGATGAATCCATCGATGAATAGACGCGACGTAGAAACTGTACTTTTATATAAATCCTTTGTATCTATTTAAAAAAGAAGAATCACAGTATTTTGAATATTTCCTATTCCTACTTAACGATCCATGAAGTTATATATTTATCAAAGTATAGTTTTTAATGCAGATATATGTATTTCATTGTACATACGGTGGTCATTAGTTTAGTTATTCTCCTTTTTGTCTCTGTCTCTCACGTGTAATATATAAACTGTCCTTCCTCCTCTCGTCTTCATCGCGGTACTGACTTTCATCGTCAAATGAGAATTGAAGTGCCTGAGACTTTGCCATATAACAATAAACATCGAATAAAGAATTTAAATCTGTGCCGCGTCTTCATCTATGAGTCAGGTAGGTTTGTTTTTTGTTTCAGGGTCAATCCCTTAAACATCACAAAATTTTAAATCTGCTGATATTTAAGATGGCGACTCTCGATCGAGCTCTGAGGAAGATGGGTCACGTGTTTGGACTTCCTGATACAGGAAGTGTGTTGTTGCTCTTTTTTTTATTGCTCATATCATCACAGTAAGATTTAGAATTGTCCCAATATCACATTTATGGCACAATAAGTTTGAATTTGTCAACTTTTGGTGTTTTATCACATGGTTCTTTTTAAATCAAATCAGTTTTAGAGAGGTAGAAAAGATTCCCACAAGCGTAAAAGAAGAATAGGTTGTAAAGTTAGTTTCTAATCATTTTTTTTTGTTGACGTGTTTGGACGTTATTAGTCTCCCGGCTGAGCCGCTCAGGTTAAGGGAGCTTGTCGTCTTCGGACCGGACGGTTTCCTGAGAGAAAGAAGAGCAGAATGAAAAATTAAAATGTGTTTCCAGAAAAACAGAATCAACGAACTACAGTTAATTTGTCACCGACTGCTGCAAAATCAGTGAAAATCACCAGGATTCTTTATTGAATTTTGATCTAATGCTGCTTAACGTTCAAATCACAGCCTCAATTGATTTAAAACAAGGATGAGTTCGTTCTGATAATATTGTTAATTAGAAAACTATTCAAGTTTTTTTTTTTTATATTTGTTTTTAAACCAAATCTCAACCTTTCATTTTTATTTCAAATTTCCATCTGCAAATGCACAAACGACACTTAACAGGATTTTCCAGTTTCAAACTCCTGAGACGAACCTGAGCAGGGACGGGATGGAGCCTGGTCTCGTCCTGAAGCGAAGCGGCTTCTGTGCCATAGGTGGAATGAGGCCGAGGTCTCCGGGTGTGTAGCGAGCGAGCTGGAAGTGGTAACTGGAAACTGGATCCAGAATCACTGAGCTGGAGAGACACAGGAAGAGGGAGACAAAGATCGGTCAGTGTTGAACTCAGATTTTCCGGCTGGATAATTTACTTTATAAGTTTGAGCTCAAACTTGAACCGCTGCAGTAACTCTCTGATCTTTGGTAAAATCACCAGAGGATCATAAAGCTGCTGAGGTTTTATACGATAAAAGGATTTAAAGACCTGGTGGCTGCAGGGTCAGAGGTCAGATCCTCAGCAGAGGAGCCGGCGAGTTTGCGCGTGTCCAACACGACCAGCAGCTTCTGCATCAGCTGCGTCCACCTGTCGACGCCGGCCTCAGAGTGCTGCTTCTCCGGGGCCTCCTGCTTCTCCGGGGCCTCCTGCTTCTCCGGGGCCTCCTGCTTCTCCGGGGCCTCCTGCTCCTCCAGGGCCTCCTGCAGGAAACACAGCAGGTGTTAAAGTTAAAACTTCCGATAACATCAAGTTATTTGTCCCTGAATAAGTGACGTTTGGTCCGGATGCTCCGGATGTGAGGAGGTCAGTGTTTTACCATCAGAGTTTGTCTGAGCGTGTCGACTGCTTCCTGAATGACCCTCTTCATCCGGCCGCTCGTCCTCTTCTCCTCCTGCAGCTCGGCCTCCAGCCGCCTCACCTCAGCGCTCTGGTCCCCGCTGGGTTCTGGCAGCGAGGCCTGTTTCTGTCTGAAATGAAACACAAGGGGTCATTGTGGGGGATGGTGGCTCAGTGGTGACTGCAGGTCAACAGGTCGCTGGTTCAAGTTCAGACGGCCCCTGAGAAACCACTTTCAATCGTTATACAACAAATACGCCACATTGAGTTTATGTGAAGTTCAGTGCATGCAGCCTCAATGCATATCAACCCATCACACACTGTCTCAGATTCATCCCTCCATCCTTCATCCCTCCATCCTTCATCCCTATAGCCACATCCCAGAACAGAACCTCCACACTGAGTCTCCCTCCGCCCGGTCACCAGTGCGTCCTCCAGCCTACGAGACACGTCTTCACCTCCACCCCTTCCCTCAACGTCCAATATACATCCATTTCCATTCAAACTTTTAAATCACACATTGTAGGTAACTGCTGCTTCCTGGTGAACGTCTCTTTAAGACATGTTTCCTCCCGTTGTCCTGAAGACTAAACGGAATGTGAAAGACGAGTCTGGGATGTGGACGATGGACATTCTGAAGTTTTACCTGAGCGCCTCCATGTCCACCAGGACGCGTTTGTGCTCGCCCTGCAGCTGCTGCTGCTCCTGCCTGCAGACGTTCAGCTCCGCCTGCAGCTGCTCACACTTCTCTGTCTCCTGCTTCACCACCTGACGGAGGGAGGAGGTCGGATTTTAATATGGAAAAATAAAAAACATGTGATGTTTTGTTGATCAGCACAAATCAAACGTTTTTCTTTTGACAGTTCACAAAATACACAATATCTTCTTAATTGGTCATGAGGGTTTGATAAACAACATCTTAGGAATCATACATTTTACATCTGTATGGGACATTTTTTTATCCCTAATCCCCAAAAAAACAATATCTGTCTGGTTCAAATTCAGAAATAATAAAGTATTTATCTATTCTATAACTGTAAAACACTCTGTCTTACATCCACTGGGACCTCCTCTCACCTTCTTGTGGACGGAGATCTTGAGGGACAGCTCTTTGAGCATCTCCTCCAGGTTGCTCAAGTCCGATTTGAGTTTCTTCTTGTGGAGCTGCAGAGCCGAGTTCTCCTTTATCAGGATCTCAGCTTGGTCTGACAGCTTATTGCACCGAGTCCTCAACTCCGTGTTCTCCTCGAAGGCCCGTTTGGTCACCTCAGGAACCTCCTGGTCCACCAGGCGCTGCACGTCTGCAGCCATCTTCGCCATGTGTCTCTCCATCTCTTTCTCTAATCTGTCAGAGAGAGGACACAGGTGAGTCATGACAGTTTTCTTTAGAGACACACTTTGTGATGATTGTTGGACATTAAACCCTGTGGACGGTGGATTTTTACACTTCCTGCTGTGTTTTATTTCTGTTGCTTTGTTTGGTCCAAAACCAACCTCTGCTTCTCCAGCAGCACTGACATCTCCATGCTGTGAAGCCCGGCTGTGTGCTCCTCCTCCTGGCGGCTCAGCTGCTTCTCCAGAGACTCCATGTTGGACGTCAGCTGCTCCCTTTGCCTCCGGAACTCCTCCAGACTCGCCAGGCTGGTCTCTGGAGGGAGGACACAAGAGTTCAAGGTTAGAGTCCCTTTGTTTGTTTGTTTGTTTGAGAGACAATCTCCAAGAAACAATAAGATGAGAGAGAACTGAAATTTAGTTTAAACACATTAAGATGTGGATTTAGAGTAACGGGCAGATCCAGGAATATTTTTTCACTTAGTTTGGCAAAACAATTCAAGCTCCAGAGATTTCTATCACTCCCTGTGGGTTCCTCCACCATCCCAGCATGCACCTGCAGGCTCTAACAGGGGCGTTAAAGATATCTGCTCATATCTCTGATATCTGCTGCAATAAAAATTTCAAATGTGTACTCGAGGGTCAGGGTGGAAGATGTGATGATTTCATTCTGTCTCAAGATCTCACCAAGCATCCTGTTCTCCCCGCTGAGTTCTTCTATCCGCTCCTGAAGCTCTTGGCTCATCTGAGCGTGTTGCAGCTGCAGAGCGTCTCTGTCTTTCTCGGCAGCCTGTCGCTGACTCTCCAGCCGCGCAGACAGTTCATCCACCTCGTCCTCCTTCTCCAACAAGGAGTGTTTCAGATACTCCACAATGTCCTTCTTATCTGTCTCCAGTGAACTGTACTGAGACATAAAGTCCTTCTTCTGCTGCTCGAGGTCGTCACACTTCAGCTGATACCTAGAGGAGGAGGAGGAGGAGGAGGGTGAGAGACAAAGTCTTTAATGATATAACATCAGGTTAACAGGCCCAACTGCATGATTCTGATTATTCTGATTATTAGAAGGTTACCCCTCCAGCTCCTCGGTCAGATATAGGATCTGATTCAGGAATAAATCTCTCTCTCTCTTTCTCTGTTCATCTGGACTCTCTTCTGTTTTCTTCTCGTCTCCTTGTTCCAAACTCATTTTCGTTTCTTTAGTATTCGGCATCTGTCAGAGAAAGTTCATTCAAGATTTTAATCCTATGATGCACAACATGGGTCTGAAGTGACCCGGCTCAGTTTTTATTTTCTATATCATTGCTGTGAATGAAAGCAAAGTGTTTCTTTTGCTATTTGTTTGAA